GATCCGGATTGTCGTTTTCATGGAGCTGCCATCGTCCTTTCTGTGCAGGAGGAAGCCGCATCTCGGGTGAGTCCTCCACGACGTCGAGATCGGTGCGGACTCGCTTGACCTGCTGTGCCACATTCGTTGCCATTAGACACTTATAAGCATACACTAAACAGGAGGATATATATATATGTATATTTATATTTATGTACTAAGCTAAGCTTACTTATCCTGATTTTACTCCCCCTTCTTGAAATAAAAAGGAAAAATACAACTATAAAAACTATGGTATTTAAGTAATGCCAAATAAAGCCACACGCTACACAGAGGATGGGGGACACACTCTCTCCCTATAGTCAGTGCCCCTTCTGCTCGCTTAACAGTTCGGTGTATTTTATATCAGTGAAAAAAGGGTAATAAATTCCGGAATTTTAGCCAAAATAATAATAATAATAAAAAGAAAAAAACTTCTATAAATGGAGATGCTAGCGTAAATCGCAGAGAGTGGGCCCTTCGGTTCGCGGTGGTGTTAAAGGAGGGGGGTTAGAGCCATTTTTGAGGAAGAAGAAAGGGGAGGTAAAAATGACAAATGTCCTCTCTACCCATCCCCCATCCCTCTTCCACACCCCACCTCGTCCTTCGGTCGTATTTCTGGTGGTGTTCACTCTCCCGCATCGATATATACAAATGGATATATATATCGATGGATTTATGCATAGCCGTAAAGAATGTGGCCGCGCTTTCGCAACGCATTGACCACATCTGAGGCAGTCACCGTTCGGCGGTGGCTGTACTCCGTGTACGAGGTCGCATCCCGCACAACTCCCTCGACGAATCCTTTCAAAACCCGCCGAATTTCCTCGTAGATTTCGCTCGAAATCCGCTTGACCCCTCCACGACGGGCGAGGCGGCGGATCGAACCGCGCGTAATCCCACGAATATTATCGCGGAGGACCTTCTTCTGACGCTTCTGGCTGCCCTTCGCATCAGCGGACTTCTTTCCCTTGGCCATAGTGACTTGGTGGAGGTAAGAGGGTTAGTGTAGAAAAATAAAAGTTGAGTAGTATCGGAGAGCGATCTAATTTACGTTTTATTTCGTATGGGTTTGTTTGTGGGTGACGAAAAATAAAGGGTGTGGGTTTGGTTCGTGATGTGTTGTGAAAGAAGAAAAGAGAGGGACAAAAAGTGTAGAATAGTAGAGGCCAAATACCCATAAAACATTGCACAAGAGTGTAGGTCAAACCACCCACTAACCCCAGCATACAAAGAAAGAGTGCATTTCATTCCAAAGGACACCGCCATCGGTATCAGCCTCATTCCACCACAGTATCGCATCCACTCGTCACACCGCAACGAACCCCA